TTCTCCCTCTGACCCTCCCCCCTCTCATGTGCTCTCTCTCTCTCATTCTCTCTCTCTCAAATAAATAAATAAAATCTTTAAAAAAAAAAAAAAGTTAAGACTGTTACTTGGCCTTCCGAAGAACAGTCCTGTCACCCTCATTTCTAGCCCTTCCGCAGTTCATCTGTTCCCACTCTCATCGTTACTCAAAGGCTGCCTCACTGTTAACCCTTGTAAATCGGGCATTGCCCTCTGTACCTGGGACAAGGCAAGAGAAGGGCAGATGTTGTGATGCTGCTCACTGGGGTCGTGGATACCTGCACGTGGAGTGCTCTGGAGGTCTGATGCTTGTGTCAGCCGTTTGTGTGTTCCTCCATTTACATAGCTCCTGTTCTTGCATAGCACAAAGTCCCTTCTTTATATGTACCTTGGGAGCTGAAAGAAATGTCATTTAATAATGTATTTGTTTGAAGGGAAATTTAAAATAGCACAATAGGCTGAGCTCTCGCCCATCGATATTTGGGCAAGTTGTAATTGCCACAGTCTTAGTTCTTGGCTTACTCCAGAGGCATTCTTTGATCCCTCTGATTTTCCTCCTGGAGCTCTCCCCCACAGAGAGTTGTTAGATTATTCAACTCTAGATATTTTCTGCACTTTAGAAACAGGCTCTTCAAACCACTGTGGGGCTGATGCTATTTTCTAAGCCCTTGGAGAACAGGCTGCATCATTAACGTGAGTTCGGGGGGCCTTTTTTCCCCTTCAGGAATCCCTTCAGTTTCACAGACCTGACTTCATCTCCCGCTCTGGGGAGCGAATAAAGCGTCTGAAGCTAATAGTCCAGGAGAGGAAGCTGCAGAACATTTTGCAGAGTGAGCGGGAGGCCCTGTTCAACACTGCGGGAGAGCAGCAGGGCTTCCGGGACCCCACGCGCCCGCTCCTGAAGAGAGGTACTCTCTGCCTCTTCACTTGCCTCTCACGGCTGCAGAGGGCAAGGGCTGCTTCCCAACCGGGGGGGCACTGCTCAGCACCATCCCAGTCACAGGGACAGAAAGGGCCTGCTTGCTTGCTGAGACTCCACTCTCCCTGGGCAGCACACCTGCCCCTTGTGGCTCTCGGTGCTCTCGTGATCCACATAAGCCCAAGTTCTCCTGACCTGTCACTGCATCTTAGAAACCAGAGTGTGCAGTGAGACTGGTGTATTTATAAGGCAGCTGTGGGTCTGTGAGCAAGTTCCAGGATTGCCTGCCTCATGGGGTGGTGGTGGTTGTGGTGAGGGTGATGATGATGGTAATGATGATAATAATAATAATAATATGTAACCCTTACATGTTTGGCCCAGGCACGGTTCTTGTTCAATGCTTATAACACGTCTCTGAGGGAGATGCTATTTAATATCCCTATTTTACAGATGAGAAAACAGAAACGAGAGCTTAAGTCCCTTGCCCAAGATTATACACCTGATAAGCTGGGATTTAAACCCTGATGGGCTCGCTTCAGATTCTGTGCTCCTAACAATTCTGCTAGGTGTAAGATCTCCGTAAAACAATATGTGAACGCTGTGAAAACGACCAAGTGCCACCCACTGCT